TGGATTGTCTTTCCAACCGTAACACCAATTCTTCTCGAAATGTTGTTGTTGGTGTTGAGTCACTTTTCTTCACGACTGAATTTCCATACTATCTACAGTAATGAGTTACACTTTTAATTGTATGAACATGCATTAATTCCCTAATTTTCTTAATAATAAATGCTAATCAATCCAAGGTGCAGAACATTTGTCAAAAAGTTAGTTTTGAAGAAAAAACCAATCATAATCTTGCCTTAATGTCTGCTCTACACAAGCCATCTATAAACCGGCAAATCAATATCAGTGCACTAACTTTATGCATTTATATTCCAGGTAGTTATAATTATTGAGCATCGAAATTGTTTTCTGCACTCATTTTAGTGACTTGCGTCAACTTGTAGCATTACTTTCATTCTGTGCCAGTTATACCAACGCCTTGTGCTCCTTCGACTAGAAGCTGGTCATTGAACTACCGATTAGACAAAACAACATTCATTGCTATTCAATGAATATAGTGAAATTGTCAAAGCATAGATATTTTAAATTAATAAGGACGCGACTAATTGGTTGGATAGCCACTTCTTCTAGGAAATATAGTGATTTATCATTTATAGCATGAGATATTTCCCCTTGTTTATTTTTTATCAAACAAAAGGATGAGATTTGAGCACCATTCTGTTCACAAGAGTTTCAACACAGTTAATGTAGTAAAAATGTTGCAGAAAGATCATGTACAAAATTAAATTTATTTGTAAAAGTGAATTATTTCGATATGTGCGGTCAGATAAAATTAGACGAAAGTCAAATAGATAGTGAAAAGTTGAAAAGTGTATATCAGTTGCACTAATTCGCAGACTTCATCCTAGTTACTTAGATGTGTAACTGGGTGCGTTTTGAGTTATCAGTAAATTGTATACCTTTTAGGAAGATAAGTGGAGCATTTTTAATTTTCAAGTTGGTATTCATCGTAGACTGACATCAGTTGGAGGAACAAAGGAAACCTGGGAGCATTGAACAGTTGTTTCGTCCTAGTATGGGACTCTTCAGCAATGCGCACCCACGACCCCGCCAGGGATCAAACCCATGACCTTCAGGTTCCGTGACCAGCACGTTACCATTGAGCTACTGTATCCTAGTCGTTATCAATATCATCTCATTCACCGGTTGTCAGAATGGTAAATACCAACTATCAGAAAATTTGGAGTATATGCGGACTAGACGAAGTCGTATGTTTAAATTATCTGGAGCAGAAAATCGATTATTATCTTGACTATAAAAGCTTTAAAAAAAATTCACTTTAAGTTGGTTACACACAATTCGTTTTGAAATATTTTCATGTTTTCAATGAGTTTATCCGCAGTATTACAGAACTGTTACGATAGATAGTTTTTCATGTCAACGTTTTCTAGTTTCTTCTCTCTGGAATATAAATGTCTATCATGGGGGATCACATTATTGCTGTCACATTCTAAATTTTTTTCCATTATCCTACCGGTGTCTGTTTTTAGTTTCATAATTGTCTCAACATCCTGCCTGATTCATAATAATGACCATAAAAATCAACTGTTATGGCCAGCAATATTCAACTGGATGATGGCTGGAAATAACGTCAACTAATACACCTTTGTACCAACTGTTGGTCAAATAAAATCCGTCAGGTTAAATGAATGGCCGACTAGAAGTGTAAATGGAGCTAGTGTATGAAAAGCCTGCATCCTGATCTGTGAAACCGATTGAAACACAGTCTACGGATAAATAAGAGTGGGAAAATCAATCCAAATTTAAAACAGCTGAAAAAATAATAGTATTACACATAGATGTTTTACATTTTTAGCATAATTCATATGAAATTAGTGAATGCTAGTTAGTGAACTATAGGTACACAGTCTAACGATTTCATATTAATGCAGATAGAAAAAGCGGTGAAGATGGATGATGTTGTCCTCTGATGGTGATTTCCAAACAATAGCTATTCTACAGTAGTAATGGGTAATGGCTAATAGTGGGATCCCAAAATACGTTTTATCTTATTTCGGACTCGTCTACTACATGTACCTGCCTTTCGATTCCCTTCGCCCAAGAAGAAGCTGTTGTAACTTGGTGGCCTAGTGGATAACGCTCTAGCGTTTGAAGTGACTTGTCCTGGGTTTGAGCCTTAATGGACACAATATCACTCATTGGGAGGCAGGTACATCTAGTTGACGAATCCCAGATAGGACGGAATAAGCGTCCTGGATTCTACTGTTAACCACTATCCATCATCAATACCAAATTGAAACACCAGGTAACAGCAAGGCTTCAGCATCGGAGCCTATATACTAAAAGTGACCGATCTATTCCGTTCAATCGATTGCAGAATAATACAAACCACAACGTAAAAAGGTAGCCATCTTATTATTTTCCTAGCCTCCTCTCATTTTGTGAAGTTGGTTATCTCTTTGATTTTTTATAGGAATTCTGAATAATGCAAATCTTGTCACTTGGACTCAAACTCTGAATAAGTTCAAATTTGGATTGAAATCTGTTTTACTACTGAAAAAATATTATGCACGATATTTTTCAAAAAAGAAAAAATCTAATAATGCTTGCTATTTAATCCACTAGGATTCTCATCCTCGTTGAATTTTACTCAAAAATAGAAAGTTGATCATAGGGGTGCAGTATAGTTCTATATTACATTTGTTTATTCCGTGTAGCGCACATGGATACATTATTATTTCCTGAATGATATTTTGGACACAATTGATTCATCATAACCATATCATTGGTATTTTGTAGACGTATGACTGCTCGCTACCGGGCTTCAGTGCTTACAGAATATTCCACATATATGCAAAGGGTGTTGCATCAATTATATCAGTTCTGTTGGGTTTCTGTTTTTATTTTAATGAAACAAGATTAGGTTATCATCCCCTCCCTTTGCCTGAATATATTTGTTATCAAGATTATTATTTTCTGTTACTCTAGTGTATTTCTCTGGAAAACACCTTCGAAAGGTCTTTCATTTTAAACGCATCTAATTTTTAAAGCTTTGATAATTCGAATGACGCAGATCAGTTACTTTTGGATCTAGTTATTCAAAGCTAAAATTATTTGATAGATTAAATTGTTTTGTGTAACTGAGGCAGAACAACACGTTTATTCAAATAAGTTCGTTTGAAGCGTTTTCTTAGTTTCAGCTTCACTAAACACCTGACACTGATTTTGAGCTGTTTTTTTTAAATTATTATACAGCCGTAAACTGAGTACTGTGAATTTTTTTTCATAATCACATTACATTTAACTAACCACACTATCATTATTCCTCTTCTTAAATATTTCTGTGAATTTCTGGATGAGTTTTGGAAATAAATTATCCTTAGTCTTTTACTTTCTGATAAATGTACTTTTAGGATCTTGTGTATTAACAAGCACTTGATGCACCTCAATTTGTAGTTTTGTTTCGTAGAAAAATGATCGGAAAAAAATTCTCAGATTACTAGTCCCTTGTACTATTTGTTATATGTATCTGCTAGTCACATGGAAATTTCCTGCATGTGTAACTTTTATGTATACTAGTTTCACTTAAATATTTTTTTTAATGCAAAGCTAAGAGAACAGTGTATAAAATACCTATAATTTCTGTTGAACTAAAAGGATAATATTTAACAGAGGACAGGTCAATTTAAGCAGTAACCACAGTATTACGGTTGTTTTGAAACCAAAGAAGTTTTCATGTTTTTGAGGTCTTATTGTCAGCATTTTGGATTCTTTGAAGTATGAATTTCTTTAGAGCGTACTGTGAAGTATGATGAAGCACTCATCTCTCTCTTTCTAAAAGACTGACACTTTGGGATATAAATAGGTGAACTCAACAGGGAACTTATCGACCTTCGACCGTTGAAAGGAAGTGCAGTTTAATTAGCAGAATGTAAAAACTGCTCAGCCTAAAAATGTTTTTTTTCAGTACGAAATTTAGTTTGTAAGTGATTCTTTTAGTTTCATAACCTTCATATCTACTACCAAATATGATAAGCTTTCTCCTAAATTTATCCAACACAAGAGCTGTTTGCAGTTGAGACACTCTTAAAAGAACTTATGGTGGTTAGTAAATGCTTACTTGATAAAATTATCAGACGAATCATCTACAAACTAAATGTAGCACTGAAAGGGAAGTATCCATCGGTTTAGCTGGCGTTTTCTTTTCAAATAGGACAGATGAAAATAAGTAAGTTCCTTTTTTTAAGTATCCTATAGTTACATTTAAAGATTAACGTGTATGTGCTCAAGTACATACATAAGGAAAACATAAAAAAGTATCCTTGATCGTATGAAATTTCGTCATTACGAAGTTGGTTAACTGAATTATTTAATAACTTTATATGCATATTCCCTGATGTAAACTGTTACCGCATGCATACTTTTAGTTACAGGAGAGAAATCATATTCATATTGTCTAGTCTCGAGTGTTGACAGCTAGGAAACTTATTACCTCGGTGCACTTTACTAGGTGTCATTTAATTAGAAGTACTAAGGACTAAACAACATGGAATTTACTACTTCTTAGTGACCAATCAATGTATTTAGTCGAATCCTATAGGTGGTCAGTCGCAATGGTAACAACACTGACTACATCACTAGGTGACATAGGTTTGAGTCCCTCATGACACATCAGGTCTTTCGAGCTTATGAATACGCCTTTCTGACAAATGCTAACAAGTATCAAACCCAAAACGAGTAATGTTTCGTACCGATTACCTACAACAAATCAACAGACTTTAGTCAGTTATTTAAATAAAAATAAGTTTTATGCAAGTTGACTTTCAATTTCAGTCAAGGTCTAAGTTTGAACAAAATTTTACTTAAATCAAACTGTTTTAAGTGATGTAATTTTCATTCTCCTCTTCATTACAGTAACTTATATCGATGCAACATTCCGTAAAATTCATTTATGTATATTCTGTGTGTTTCTGAAGTCCCAAATTTTTTTTTCTAAAATTATAAATAATCTACTTATTACTTATCTTTTCTTTGTTGAATAGAGTTGGAAATTTCGCATCACTTGATGGAGTTATTTTCTGTAAACCACATTATATTGAACAATTCCGTATTAGTGGTAAGCAAAATCTATTTTATCTGTTTCATTAATTTCCTTACATAATTCCCAGTTATGAGATTTCATAACTCACACTTTGTACATGTTACGACTTGTTAACTATGAACTGAATTTGTCTATACTGTAGAGAAAACTATATATACCAAATGAGAGAAAATTTCATGAATTAAATTTCACAAAATAAATATCTTTATGGTCAAATAAGTTCATGTGAGATATCATTTGTGATGTACTACTTTCATCAAAAGACGTTCAAAGAAGAAATTCTTTTTTCAGTATAAATGTTAAGGTTGGATTCTTTTTAATGGGCGACCTCCTTAGCTACTTTTTAGTCTTCCGGGTGTGCATAGTGTGATTCGAACTTAAAACTCACTGAAAGTTGAGTGGCTTATCCAAGAATCCTTACTGGTGATAATCATAAATGATTTAATTGAGAAAACTCTAATTTGATTGAGTCAGAAGTCCTCATTGTTTATAACTTTCATTTCTTCATATTCCATGAGTAATTTAACCACACATCAGTATAGGTGATCTGTGACTTCAAAATAAACTGACCCCGGTAGAAGAACAACTTGCAATATTGGTAAATTCATTCTTTATTTTCATTGTATGGCACTATTATATCTCTTGCGGACTAACTAAGAAGACGTTTAGCGTTTTTTTCGTACCAGTTCATAGACTCAGCTCAAGTGACTCTAATGGTAAATCCTTATGAAATCCCAAGGATGTGACAATGATCTATACATCTTTAAGGATGGACGCATTTGTATACTCACTGAACTGAAATTCGTTATTGCAATGGTGAAAAACCATCTTTCATTATTCAGGACCGACTTATTTCTCTCTAGCTTTTTATTCAAACTGTTGACCAGTGACATCCTTTTAACTGTTGACGTAGACAGATTAAATATTGGTCGGTTATCATAAGAAAACTTGACAAAGGATCAAAAGCTCCTAAATCTAAAACCTCTATTGAGTAATTTCAGGGGAAATATACCCTAAGCATATGTAGTTGCTCTGAGAAGACCATTATTTACCACCAGTAACGTAGCCGATCCTATTAACATCATTTACTCACCATGTTTTTGTCTTTTTTTAGCGTTTCTTATGCAGGTGAATAATTAGTTCTTCAAATTAGGTTCTCTGAAAGCAAACTTCTAGGAGTTTTCTTCATAGTTTTACTGAGTTATATCCAACTTTCCGTAATTATGGTTTTTATCTGGCATATGGTGTACATCACTAGGCGTTAACATTATGGTTACCACTACTAATTTGTAGTTATTGTGCAGGATAGTAGCCAATGTAAATGTCAAGTTACATATGCTTATCTCTCTCTGAAGCCTTGAACCTAGTAGACTTGGTATTTTAAAACACATTTTTAGCAGTTTTTCAGTCAGTTCCAGCTGAATTTCCTAGGTTATCGTTTGAATAACTGTTTATAAAGTCTTGGGGTAATATCATTTTCCTTGTAGAATGGAATTCGCTTCATTCTCTACTTTTCTTTAACCTGACACTTGATTCAAATAAATTTTGGCGGATGCTGTTGTTATATATCCCAATCGCTAACAGCCTGTGTTTTCACAGAACAAATATGCCTTATTGATAACATCGTTTATTTCATTATATACCTACCTTAATGAATCTGTGTGACTATGTTTTTGTTGACCAGAAATGTGAGTTTTCCTACGCCTTTACCGGTTGCTATCGTATCGTCTGAGATTTATAATTATTATCATGTAGTTTACTCCTGGCGCTACCATCACACACTGAACCTAATCCCTTGTTCTCACTTCATCATTTACTTAAGTGAGACAGATGATGGAGCGTGGCTTTAAGTTACTGTTTTCAGGTACTAAGGATATGGGATGCTACTTAAATTTAATTCCTATGAATGTTTATTCTCTGTGAAATGTCTGCCTAACGTTGAACTTCAAACATTATTATGATGTTGTTTAGCGAAATTCTGAAACTTTTCCAAAAGTGTTAAATTCACGTTTGAAAGGAAAGTCTGTCTTAACAAATATGAATACTTCACTGCAAAACAACCATTAGCTGATCACTTGATTAATACATTCACTCCAATGAGATCCATGAAATGAGGCATAACTGAGAATATAAAATTCATTATTAAAGAAAAGGGGAGAATTTGACTACAAATATTCATTTATATAGTCCTTTTCGCAAAGTTTAGTGCAAAAATATTATTTTCTTACACTGTGATCAGCAGTAAGCTATTTAAAATGTCATTCGCTGTACAAAAACAGCAATACTTAATCCACAGCTTACACACAGAACACCAACCGATATGATGTCTTCGCTTCTTATTTTTTGTATTATGATGGAATTTGACTGGTGATTTGTGAAATTTGATTGGTTTCAATATTGCATTCATCAGGAAAAAAACTTCATCTGAAGCACCACTATAAACCCAGCAACATATGATAGGACTCGATCCTTCATGATATCAAAAATTTCTTTTTCTGCCTCATTAAGATTTTTCAAATATATTTCCTTGATAATATGAACCATAGTTATGTAGAGTTGATTTCTAAGTGCAGAAAATGAAAGGACAATAATAATGTTACGCCTTATGGTATATTCTAGTATGGCTTATTTACTTTTTAGTGTAAATAAATCACTTTTGGGTGTGACAGTCTGTAAAATCAATGAATTATTTTTACATGAAAACTAATCTACTCTTTCTATCTTATTCGTCTTCATTTAGTCACTGAAACGAAATGAAGTACTTATTTTCTCAACCTATTGGTAGTTTTTTCTTGGTTTCTTTAGCTTATCCAATATTTGATTACTTATTCCTTTGATTTCACTCTATTATTCGTTATGGGTGGGATCTAGGAGGCGTGTGTTTTGTTCTATTTAGGATTTGTTAACTGGATGGGCCTACATTTCCCGATTGTTGTTGTCTTCATCTTCCACTGCTCAAAATGATAAAACGTTTCGTGTAGAGCTACTAAGTTTCAATACAATCAGTGACTCATCAATATTTAGTATTATATACTGTTTATGGTGATGAACAGGAGAAAGGTGTGGATCTGTGGAGATCAGAATTTCAAGTTATCTATTGTTCGTTCAGTTGGCTAGCAGAGTTCTAAAATCTGGAATTATATTTTCATCAGGATACGACCTATGCTACAAATGAAAGTAAACTCTGTACCTGTATTAATGTCTGCTCAGTGGCTAACTCTGGAATCCAGGAAGCACGTTTTGTCCTAGTTGGGACTGGTTAGTTGGACGTATCTATACATTAGTGAGTAATGTTGTCCCCACTTGAATTTGAACCCAGTACTTATCACATTAGACTCCAAAGCGTTATCCACTAGGCTGGGTGAACATAAAAGTGTTACAGAAATCCGCTAAGAGTAAAACAAAACTTTGTTTAGTTATCGGGGTCACTTGAACCCTATCTGCACAAAGTGTTTGGAATGATAGGTATGAAAAGTTTGGGATGATATGACTCTTTCCGAAACAGCTTGTATTTTGAATGTAGGCAGAAACGTGTTTTTCTCCCTAACCACTCAGTATTATATCATCTTGGAATCCCTAGTTCTTACCGTGAAATGTTATTGTCAATTTATGTTGTGGTTTCTTCTTGCAAATTTACTCTCTCTTGATATTTATCTCGTGTAAAGTACTGATGAATATTTGTAGCTACGAATGTTTATTTCACTATTTTTTGTTTTATTGACTAAATGAACAAGGAAAAGTAGCTTCAACCAATGTACTGGATTACATTATCAGGGTATGGCCTAAAAGAAGTCAATTAATTGTAAAGGCTTTACCATTCACTGACCCAACTTAGAGAACACATGGATGCCAAAGTTTCGGAATGCTTTAGCTTGTAAAGATGTGTTTTGGGTTTATTCACTTAGTAAAGCTGCACTTCATTGGAAGCCATGATTTTCAACTGTATCTAACCTGTTGACATTAAAACAAATAGGTAGTGTAGTTAGTCCTGAGAAACGTATAGCACACTTATTAAAACATGAAGCTGCAATTGGACATTTTGTAGCATTGTGGTATCAAATTTACTTCACTGTTTGATTTAATGTATCTAACAATGGTGGACATTTAACTGAGCCCAAAAAAGATATCTATAAGCTACACCTTAACATTAGACATCTTTCTCAACTCCTAATGGTAGATGGAAATATAGTTGATATTTTCTACCTCATACTGGATCACCTGCTTAGTTATTCAATTATTTATTCACTTCTATTCAATTTTTTTTATAATCGTATAACAATTCTACGTTTTTTTTTATCTTACTGAATCCAATTTCAGTTTTTCCATTGAAGTAAAATTCTTATCATACATTATCTTGTTGCAAGATTTACAGACCAGTATCGATTATTAACGTGTACTTTAAGGTCAAGTATACTAATGGAGGTTAGGTTTACACTCACCAATGAGGAGTACTGTAGTGCCAATCAGCCAAAAACTCATTCTTTTCAAAATTAAAAATAGGATATATTCTTTAAGCTATGTCAATTATTAGGAATTCACGCTTAACACTGCATTCTTGGGTAGAAATTTTCAGTAAATTTGAACTTATAGGATTGTAGTGAGCCTATTAATGAACTTACTTGTACGATTAAGACATTTCAAGTGCTTACATCTGGCAAACTATTCGTTAGCTACAGAAATGACAGGTGATGCTGAAAGAATCTTTGAGTCAACGTCTTTAAATTATTGACTAGCCTATGAAATCTACTTCGTAAACAAGTCCTAGTTTCTTCTCGTTTGTTGATAGTTGAAGCCAGCTGGCTGTCAAGTGAAAAAATGATCCATACCTACTCATTTTGCATTGGAACAGCTACTCAGCAAAGAATCGGTCAGAGGAAGCACCGGACTTACTGTTCCTTTGATTATATGAAATCGTCGTGATTTGCACAGTGGTCTTTATATTTGAGAAAGATAAAATATATTGGTATATTTAGTTTTTTTTTCATTTTGATAATATAAAGTGTAACAAAGAGAGT